TCAAAATCTGCAGGAACTGACGCAGGCACTCCATGAGGATTGGTAGAGGATTCAACGCTTGATTGCCTGTATGAGGAGGAAAATTTCAGATGTTATCGGTGTGAAGGGTACTGATGTGGTCGCCAGTGGTGGTTTATGCAATCACATCAGTCATAATTTTACACCCTGTGACAATCGGACTGGTTTCCTAGACATGGTGATCTTCCGGCATTAATATCCACGTTTTTATGTATTCCTCGCAGATTGCAGTAAACTGTGACTAAATTTCAATTCCAGTTTTGTTTTTGTTTGGGGTTTTTTCACAGTAAAATAAATGTACAGTGTATATGGCGTTAGCAGGAGTTTTCTTACAAAAATAGCTCCTTTCCAGTATTTGAACAAATGTTCAACAATATGTTTTAGTATCCATCATAAGTAAACAGAACTGTTCATAATTATAAATTTCTTAACAGGATTTTGTAGCCTATATTTCTATACCTTGTGTGTAAATTTTCAGCGTCGGTATTTTCTTTACAATGTTTGTTGCTTACGCACCTTGAGTGTAACCTGGTGTGTCCGTAACTTGAGTGCAGCTTGTTGCTTCCCGTATCTTGAGTGCAGCTTGTTGCTTCCCGTATCTTGAGTGCAGCTTGTTGCTTCCCGTATCTTGAGTGCAGCTTGTTGCTTCCCGTATCTTGAGTGCAGCTTGTTGCTTCCCGTATCTTGAGTGCAGCTTGTTGCTTCCCGTATCTTGGGTGCAGCTTGGTGCTTCCCGTATCTAGAGCGTGTCTTGCTGCTTCCAGCATCTTGAGTGTGCCTTGGTGCTTCCAGCATCTAGAGAGTTACTTGCTGCTTCCCGTATCTAGAGTGTGCCTTGGTGCTTCCGGCATCTAGACTGTGCCTTGGTGCTTCCAGCATCTGAGTGTGCATCTAGAGTTGCTTGCTGCTTCCCGTATCTAGAGTGTGCCTTGGTGCTTCCCGCATCTAGAGAGTTACTTGCTGCTTCCCGTATCTAGAGTGTGCCTTGGTGCTTCCAGCATCTAGAGAGTTACTTGCTGCTTCCCGTATCTAGAGTGTGCCTTGTGCTTCCCGCATCTAGAGAGTTACTTGCTGCTTCCCATCTAGAGTGTGCCTTGGTGCTTCCCGCATCTAGAGAGTTACTTGCTGCTTCCCATATCTAGAGTGTGCCTTAGTGCTTCCAGCATCTAGAGAGTTACTTGCTGCTTCCCGCATCTAGAGAGTTACTTGCTGCTTCCCGTATCTAGAGTGTGCCATCTAGTGTAACTTGGTGCTTCCAGCATCTAGAGAGTTACTTGCTGCTTCCCGCATCTAGAGTGTGCCTTGGTGCTTCCAGCATCTAGAGAGTTACTTGCTGCTTCCCGTATCTAGAGTGTGCCTTGGTGCTTCCAGCATCTTGAGTGTAACTTGCTGCTTCCCGCATCTAGAGTGTGCCTTGGTTGCTTCCCGCATCTAGAGCGTAACTTGCTGCTTCCCGCATCTAGAGTGTGCCTTGGTGCTTCCCGCATCTAGAGAGTAACTTGTTGATTCCTGCATCTAGAGTGTGCCTTGGTGCTTCCAGCATCTTGAGTGTAACTTGTTGCTTCCCGCATCCAGTGCGTAACTTGCTGATTTCAGCATCTTGAGTGTAACTTGTTGCTTCCTGCATCCAGTGCGTAACTTGCTGATTCCAGCATCTAGAGTGTGCCTTGCATCTAGAGTAACTGTGACTTTCTAGAGAGTAACTTGTTGATTCCCGCATCTAGAGTGTGCCTTGGTGCTTCCAGCATCTTGAGTGTAACTTGTTGCTTCCCGCATCCAGTGCGTAACTTGCTGATTCCAGCATCTTGAGCGTAACTTGTTGCTTCCAGCATCTTGAGTGTGTCTTGTTGCTTCCCGCATCTAGAGCGTAACTTGCTGCTTCTCGCATCTAGAGCGTAACTTGTTGTTTCCAGCATCTAGAGAGATACTTGTTGCTTCCCGCATCTAGAGCGTAACTTGCTGCTTCTCGCATCTAGAGCGTAACTTGTTGTTTCCAGAATCTAGAGAGATACTTGGTGCTTCCCGCATCTAGAGTGTGCCTTGGTGCTTCCAGCATCTTGAGTGTGCCTTGGTGCTTCCAGCATCTAGAGAGTTACTTGCTGCTTCCCGTATCTAGAGAGTTACTTGCTGCTTCCCGTATTTAGAGAGTTACTTGCTGCTTCCCGTATCTAGAGTGTGCCTTAATGCTTCCAGCATCTAGAGAGTTACTTGCTGCTTCCCGTATCTAGAGTGTGCCTTGGTGCTTCCAGCATCTTGAGTGTGCCTTGGTGCTTCCAGCATCTAGAGAGTTACTTGCTGCTTCCCGCATCTAGAGAGTTACTTGCTGCTTCCCGTATCTAGAGTGTGCCTTGGTGCTTCCAGCATCTAGAGAGTTACTTGCTGCTTCCCGCATCTAGAGAGTTACTTACTGCTTCCCGTATCTAGAGTGTGCCTTAGTGCTTCCAGCATCTAGAGAGTTACTTGGTGCTTCCCGTATCTAGAGTGTGCCTTGGTGCTTCCAGCATCTTGAGTGTGCCTTGGTGCTTCCAGCATCTAGAGAGTTACTTGCTGCTTCCCGTATCTAGAGTGTGCCTTGGTGCTTCCCGTATCTAGAGAGTTACTTGCTGCTTCCCGTATCTAGAGTGTGCCTTGGTGCTTCCCGCATCTAGAGAGTTACTTGCTGCTTCCCGTATCTAGAGTGTGCCTTGGTGCTTCCAGCATCTAGAGAGTTACTTGCTGCTTCCCGCATCTAGAGAGTTACTTACTGCTTCCCGTATCTAGAGTGTGCCTTGGTGCTTCCAGCATCTAGAGAGTTACTTGCTGCTTCCCGTATCTAGAGTGTGCCTTAGTGCTTCCCGCATCTAGTGAGTAACTTGTTGATTCCCGCATCTGGAGTGTGCCTTGCTGATTCCAGCATCTTGAGTGTAACTTGTTGCTTCCAGCATCTTGAGTGTACCTTGGTGCTTCCCGCATCTAGAGCGTGCTTGCTGCTTCCCGCATCTTGAGTGTAACTTGCTGATTCCAGCATCTAGAGTGTGACTTGTTGCTTCCTTCTGTCCCTGCCAACTCATGTGTATAAATTTGTCGTTGACATCTTTGGTATAACTTGGTGAGTACGTATCTACTCGGTGCTTGTGAAAAGTAGTTCTGTATATGTACTGCCCTTCTTTGGACAGTTGAACGATTGCAGTGATAAAGTTAATATTCAGCAATGATTCAAATTCATATGTTTATCTTGATACATATATTTACAGCGAGATCTACGACTGGCCCACCACCCTGGCAGGTCAATGTCAAGGTCACAACTGCGACGACAACTCAAAATGTGAGGTCAGTGTTGACATGACAACCAGTTGCGTGACAGCGGATACAACCGGTTCTATGTGCTCCCAGCCAGATCCGATACCAAATGGAGCCTTCCTGAACGTCTTCTCACAGGGTGAAACTTGGAGTCCTGGACGTCTAGTGATCTACATATGCAACATTGGCTTCGTTCAAGAAGGCCTTTTGACATGCCTTTCTGATGGATCGTGGTCCTCTGTTAGTTGTAAATCATTCCTTTCTTTTGGTTGAACGTTAGACATTGAACGCAAACAGGTTTAGACTCATGAGTTCAGATGTTGATAACACGGGCCCTGAACACATCAACACATGCAGTAGACACACTGACCACCAACGTTTCACTTTAGAGGAAGGGCTGTCCCTGTGCTGTTGATTAGCTGCAGCAAATACACTGTAATGTTTTCTCGTATTAAAACTGCAAGGTCATGTGTGCGTTTGTTTTCTATTATAGGAAAGTGAACTTTAAAGTTCTGAGCATCAAATGGAAAGAATTATGTGACAGTGAGTAAATTGAGCAAACTGTTTCCCTATGATTTGTTAGTAAAATATACGTTGACTGCACGAAAATGAACAAACTATTGGAACGAGCAGTGATCCAGTACATGAACATATATTCAACAAATTTAAAAACATGATACCCACGTAATGAATAATAACTGTAACTGGGGTGATTCTTGTGGTGCAATGAATGCAATGAAGTTTAGTAAGAAAGCGAGTATCGGGGCCAAGTTTGACCCTAGTCTTGCTATTTTTGCAGCTACATGGAAGGACATTCCAAGATGACTACCTAACCAAACCCCAGACCGTACAAGCACTTGGGCAAGCACATGTTGACCAATGACAGCGATTCCCGGTTAAACTAGTCAGACAGGTTCTCGTGTCCATGAGGAGAGTTGTGATGCCGTCACATCCTCCCTAGGAAGTCACACTCATTATTGACTTCTATTCAAATTACATTACATATTACAAGAATTAGTCTTATCAGTGTTAAGTTTGCTATAGGGGTGGGGGTTGTTTTTGATTTGTTTGGTTGTTTGTTTTTTGTTTGTTTGTTTTGGGGTGGGGTTGGAGAGGTCCGATAGGGTGGGGGGAGAGCAAGGGGGAGGAGAGAGTCTCATTGAACGTCATGAAATATGTTATGTTTTAACAGTGTGAAGTTCAAGACAGGGGTGGGGGTGGGGATTTGTTTGGGGGAAGAGGTTCGCTGGGGAGGAAGGAGAGAGAGGGAGAGTAGGGGGGAGGAGAGAGTGTCATTGAACGTCATGAAATATTTTCGACTTTGCCGCAATCCCATTTTCATCCTCTGTTCCCTGGACTAAATTAGTATGATAAACATCAAAATCAATATGGCATTCAAGTATTTTTTGTCTTAGTTCTTAATTTGACATAGCGGAGAATGGTCCTTTCTATGCCGCCTTGTGTGGCAGGGAGATATCTGAAGACGGCCCCTTCCTGGATGGCAAACACAAGAATTGATCCACGAAATTGTGATGACCGACCGCTATTGAAACAAAATGATTTATAACTGTTATATTCTACAAAGTGGCTGAACATGGGTTTTCCATTTCTAAGGTGTTTATGAGTACTTGATGCCTAGGAAAAAGGACGCTAGTTCCTTCTAAACTGTTTAAAAAAATATTACAATAATTAAAGTTTATACATCATATTAATATTTTTATTGACTTCATATTCACTTTCAAACTGCATTCTTTATTTCCCAATGTTTCATGCACAAAACCTACATGATATTGAGTGACAGTTCTAGTATCTGTAAGTACAGAATTATATTCACAGCAACTATAGTAATATGGTCAGTATACAGTGAACAACTTGTCAATAGAAAATAATAAACATATCTCAATATGTACAATTTAGATATCACAGATGAGCAAGATATGTACAGTATGTATAGAAATAGCTACTCCACAAAACACTTCTAAACAGCACACTTCCAATGCTGAGGACGGAATCATTGCAAAATCCTATCACAAATCATAAAAAGCTCAAATTCAGGGAATTCAGTCACTACATCTTAGATATAATTAACTCACAAGTTCAGATTCATCAGAAGGTTTAATTGTTGCAGGGTTTTTTAGCCTTTGTTCTTTCAATAAAATATGCAGAGACCTGTTAACAATGATGAAACCTGTGAATACACTGAAATTAATAGTAGTCTGTATATTGATAACATTCTGTCATTGGATTATTATACAAACATTCTGAAAATGACTGGCAACTGTTTATAAATGGACATGTCCATAGATGTATTCTGATTTCACAGTGATGGTTATCAGAATTCTGACAAAAAAAGTCTTGATGTAGTAAAACAACCAGGAGCACAAACTTGTATCCAAAAATTCCTGACTTTAAACATTTGGTAATTTTCAAATATGACTATTACATCTAACTATTATCAGGAAACTAAAAGACTTGCTATTGTATAATGAGACATAATTGACTCCCAGAGGTAGAAAACAGTGGATGCTGACTTGTGAACAGACTATTAAACATCTGTTGGATTTAAAACTAAACAAAATAATACTGAAATACACACAAATATTGGATGGATTATCTTACCCCTTCTCTCAAACTTTGGCAATACTGAAATTATCAGCCATTTATCATGTATAAAACAAATAATGTTTGCAACACGGAATAATAATATACAGCATAAAAACAAACAAAATAGATATCACAGTGTCATGTCCATACATGAACATGTACACAAACAGCAAAAACTGCATTGTTTGGTAGATAATATTTGTTTTACATTTGTTTTACATTTGCTTCATATATATAAAGAAAATACCCATTACTGAATGGTAAAATTCGGTTTTCATGACCAAGGAATGGCAATATTTCATTAATCGCAAAAACTAGAAATGATATACTTTCTTCAAAGGCAAAACAAAAACACAACATTGCCATGGTAACAATAAAGCTGTTTCCACAGTGTCAGCTAGTTGTCCAACTGACACAACAAAGCAACGCCACGTCCGATCCAGTGTGATTCTGGTTTGTCTGATGGAATCATCATGGCAATAACAAAGTTTGTGGAGTGACCAGTAGTGGACAATGTCCCTCTTCTCTCACTGGTCTTGTAAACTGGGCACTTGTACACAGGCTTGTCTGGGATGTCGGATCTCTTCAAGGGCTTCAGCCAAAGCTGAAGTCAGAAAATAGTAAGTCAGATACAATTGTTTAAAGGAGCATGGAAATGGGTAAGAAACCTAAAATGAAAAGTTTCAGCAGTAATATTCAGAATGGTGCCAATTTGACTGTCTTCCATCTTGTACACTTCCAATGAGGTTATCCTATTGTTCACCAAGCAGGTTAAGCCTCATGTCTGAGGATTTTACAATATCACAGGTATTATATAATATGACATGCATAACCAAACAACCCCCAAACTTACAACCCTTTTGGCCACTGTGGCCTAATAACCAGCATGAAAATAGTTTGAAGACAACCCTTGTTGTTGTGAGGGTGTGAAACAAATAACTGGTGTTTTTTCTAAATCTACAATCAATGACACAGACAACAACAACATCTGAACAACAGTTTGTTTGTTGTTTTATGCTGCACTCCATCTGTATGACAGCAGTCTGTAGTTAATCAAGTCAGGATCAGACAATCCAGTGAGGAGTTGGGATATAATGACAATTATGACATGTGTCAATCAAGTCAGCAAGCCTGACCATCTAATCCTCTTAAACACCTCTTATGAAAAGCATGGGTTGCTGAAGCCCCAATCTAATCCCAGATCTTCACTGCTTGATTCAAACATATACATATTCCAAGATTCACTGAAAGATCCTGTGGAAGTTGCACAAACTGAAAGCATTAGAGGAATGGAAATGTGATGGCGGCCATTATTGACTTTATAAGTGCCTAGTCCACTGTTCTGCTTACCGGTGGCATGGTGTCAAACAAGACCTTTGGTAATGACTCTGCAAGTCTCTTGCCCTTGCGATCCCATCGGGCGCCATCCACATAGAGACCATACACATACACACCTGGAAGTGAGAAGTTTCACAGTGAGAAGTTCATAACAAGTTAATCAACCTATATTACATTTAACTCTGAATAATTAAATAAGGAAAAATTGCAGAACTTTTCATACCATCCTGACTTCTAGTAATTGAAATCAGGATCACAAGTCACTGACAGTCATTATTATTTACTTCAGCAGTAAAATGTCACCTGAGAACTTTTAGGAATAAACAAAACTGAAAGACATTCTATCTTTATCAAATGATTTTGCTTTCTGAATGGCAACTGTTAAGGTGTATACCACATTTATTTGTTAAAAAGGTATATATATCCTTAGATCAGTTGCACCAGCAGCATCCCACAGACACAAGCTGTGCCATGACTAATCATCATCATCAACAACAACAATAACAACACTCACCATCTTCAGGGGGCTCATCATACTCCTTATCATCAAGGACTTCATAGTCAAAGCCGAGGAGATCGATGGGGATGGTGTACTTCCTGGCATAATTCTGCTGAGCTCCAGTCAAGAAGGCCTGTGTGAAGAAGAATCCTGACACCCAGAAGCAAGTTGGTGGGCCAGTGTCGTACCAGTCTTGGAGGAACTTGAGACGAGTCAGGAAGTCATTCACGTAGCTGCCCAATGGCTTCAGGGATGGGTAGGACCTCTTCATCCACATCCCGGGGATCTTGCCCTTGAGGATGCTCAGCACCACCTCCTCTAGCTCTGACGACATGACCACCAGACCCTGGAGAAGGGAAGATAAGGAAAACTCACACTGGGGTCTCTATGTGAAGTCATTCTGAGCAATGTCAATACTTTATATACACCTGTTTGTCCATCACTACTATTACACACAGCAGCTAGGTGATGTAAAAGCTGCACATGTCTTTTTTTTTAGCCAGTCAATGTAATTACACCATATGTAGCCCATAATCCTTGCATGATGTTTGTGGCGTGCTTCACTGGTGAAAAAAGTGGACAAGTGATGGAGGAACATAGTGTAGGAAGCCTGTGAAATACTGACAACCTTCTGTTAGCCAGGGATTCACCATATAACACCAGCATTCAGCTGGCATTTCTCTTTGGATGTAGTTAAAACGTAATGCTTAAATCATAATGGACTCACTGAAGGGGCTCACCAGTTGTATTTAAACATGGTATCAGAAGGAAACACAAGATAATACCACTTGCATGGTGGACCTCTAGAAGTGCTGGCCAGAATCAGTTCATCGACTTGTGCAAAGTCATTGAAACTAAATTTTTAATAACGCTTTAACTAAGATTGAACACTGCATATGTTCAGCATAATGTCTTTATACCAATATATTTCATTTTAGACAAAGCATGATCAATCGTTTTTAAATCTGACTTCATTCTGATTATCATGTGAAGGAGCATGTTTAATCATTGAAATACTTCAGAGCATAACTGGTGACTTGATACTTCTGACTCAGCTGTACTGACCTCTTCATACTTCCATCCCAGTATTATTGTACAAGTTAAACATCTGAGTAGGATCATTCAATAATAAATCATTTGATACTGTTGCTGTGTATACTGACCTTTATAGCCTTCCTGATGTTGATGAGACTGGCTCTGACTGTGATGAGCAGTCGATTGAAGCGAACCATCTCTTGTACAAGCACAGTGTTCATGCTCTGTTTGTAAGATGTCGGGTATTTACGCAGAGCTGCGTCAGTATCAAAGTTGCTGGGTAGTCTCGACAAGATGTCTGCCGCAACCTCATCCACAACATCGTCAGTAGATTTACCTCCCTTTGCTGAAGCTCTTGCCTGCAAGAAGTTAACAATGATGAAGATATTGTTTTCTGTTAATTACTACATGTGTGTGCGTATATATATATAGAGAGAGATATATATCCTTATATCTGGAAGAAAACAAAGAAACCTGTAAAGCTAACAATACTTCTGCTTTTTGAAGGTGCAAGAAAGCCACTTTGGAACAGGGTGAATACAGCTTCACGATACAATATTGATACATGAATACAATATCTTTACATGGCAACCTTGTACAGTATATTGTGAAATCAGCAACAGTGATGGTGGTACACTGATGACATGACGGATGTTTTGATATTGATAATCCCTTCAATATAGTTAATAAAGTAAACAAATCCTTTCAGATAATTTTATTTCATGAAAATAACAATGATATTGAGAATAGATAGTTACTCCTGGATGTTACTTTTGAATGAAATTATACATAAAATTACAAATCTGATATTTCTTAAAGTAACTTTATTTGACTTATATGGAATAAAGTTTTCAAAACAATGTGCATTTTGAAACTCAAAAATGAGGTCATGCATATAGGTAAAAATACCTACTTAGATATGAAAAACCTGTTCATGCAAGTTTTATAGGACAAAGCTTATACTGATATTCATGCTGTATTTAGAACATTCCTGTGGATATATTTTCTACTTATCTGTGTAATCAAAACAAAAGGTTATCTAGTTTTCAGTCCTAGTCTCACCAGCTAGGTTGCAGTTTTGTATTTAAATCTTTAAAAGACTGAATATCCATTTCAATTGAAAAGTAAATCCATTACAAAAAGTACTCTTTGTACAATGTAAATCATTCAATAAGTTATTTTTAAGAGTTTTTAAGATCAAACTACAAGGTATAACTTGACACATATTCATCTAATTTGAAAGCTGATTTGTACACAAATTAAAATCTTTTTTTCAAAAGCAATGTACCAATAAACATTCTAAATGATTGAATATTTTCAGTCATTTTTCTCCAATATGCTGTCAAATATCAATTGTCTAGTAATGATAAAATAATATAATTTTAAACTATTGTCATTCTTAGGTGATGTATGCATATAAATTTGCACAGGACATGAAAATGAATTCTTGAATGAAGTCCTGATGAGACATAGAAATATTCACCACATCTTATCTAGAATCTAAAAGGAAAATCCTATAACTATGAAATTTTGATGACTATAGCTTCACTACAGTCAAAGATTACTTGAGACAAAAATTTACAATTTTTCTAATTTATTTAGTCACCTATTAAACATAGCACATATTTGTGCACAAATAGTACAAATATTAAACACTCATAGATTTCTATTTCTCATCAAGACCGATCACCTGTGAGTGAGACGTGAGTGCAATTAATGGGACATGAAGGATGACGTGTGATGGTGCGGATATGTCATCCACTATTCTTATATCCTAACTAGCGTTCATCATCTAGCATTCATCATCTAACATTACCTCTCTAATTCATTACACTATACTTTATACTACCTGGATTTCTGCCTGTATATTGTAATTAGAAAGTTACACTTGTATATTTCACTGATGACATGTAAGAATGGAGTGTAGCATGCATGTGAGTGTCATCAATTTCAAATGTACATCCATCACACACTGTAACTCACATTGGAATCCTAGTAACAGTAATTATGAGATCCATGGTTCAGATTAATTTGGTATGAACATTTAACATCATTTGTTGGTACTTACCGTAAATATTCATATAATTGTCACCATCGTGACACAAACACTACACTAAATCTACACTACTACAGCAAACATCTAATTAGTCACATGAGATATAAGTGCCAGAGTATAAATACTAGAAATACACAACTCCACATTTGCTAAGAACCAAGACAGTCATCCTAAGTCAAAGCTACGGTCCTTAGTAAATGTTCAGTGATATACATGTATAAGTCCACTAACTAACATACGCAGATTGTTAAGTTACTACATACACAACTGCCTGTATAAGGTTTAAAAAAACTTTCACTTTAATTCCTATTTTTTTCTTCATAAAATTCAAACAGATCACCCATTATACAGGCAGTGTGTTCAAGATAAGCATTTGTTAGATAGGCGAGAAACGTTTGAGTATTGCTATGAGCTTTGATTAAGGGAAAGGAAGCAAGTCTATAAGATTACCAGGCCACAGTTCAGCAACAGCTAGGCTGGATTGTCAGACATTTTGAAGATCTTGATTAGGACTCAACATAATAAACTTGTTTCTGCAGCAATCTTATCGATCATTACAATTTCTTTTTATAATTTGAGATTTTATTAAGGTTTATAAGGTTTCCTTTAAATAACCAAAATAACATACAAAATTACTAAAAACTTCATCCATTAAATTTCTTCCAAGATGGATGCTTTATCTGACTTCAAATTGTCAACAAATATAGATCCAGATTTAATGAAATAAAGTCCCCCTAGAGATGGAGAGGTGAGTATCTATGCAGCGAGGGACAGACTGAGTCAAGTCCTATATGTCTGTCTTACCCGTTTCTACAAACCCCGAACACACAACACAGCGCATTCAGCAAATAGGGGTTGATGCATTCCACATGACAATTTTAGTGGAGAGTGCATTTGATACAGCATGCAAAAAAATAAAATACATAATACATTAGTTCATGCAATGTCCAAAATGTTTATGTCATTTATGTGCTTTTCCATGATTACTACACTGTGCATTTGTATACAGATATGTGACAATTGTCAACAGAGTGAATATTGCTGGCGCCACATCAACATGTGGCAGTTACTTGTGGCCACCTGCTTTGAATAATGATTATTTCTATAGTGTTTATATATATGCAATGAGATACACAACTATGAATATATATCCATATTTCTTGTGTGTTTCTCATCTGATGCTAGTCCTAAATTACCATCCTGCCAAAAACGTAAAAATATACACATGAACCTATTCACCTTCCTGAATATACCCCAGCCGGATCTTTAGAAACAAACTAAGACTTCCCCTTTCAGAGAAATGTGACTGTTGTATTTCATCAGAAGAATTTACTCAAAGAAGTTAGGTAACTCTGCCTTACAGCTCCATGTATTCACCTTTATGCTGTCCCCTTTATCAATAGCCATACAGCTGCAGACATTTTGCAGAGTGATCAGATGTACTTTGGTAATTATTCCAAATTTACAACCATACAACAGACAATATATCAGTTGTGTTCTGAACCGATTTTTTTACACTTTCTTCCTCCCACAAGGTTCTCAAGACAAGCATTGAGACGAGAACACACAACATAACGTGAACATCTACTGCAATGTTAATATACACAGTGCATCATGTCTTGCCTACCATTTCATGAGAGACATAACTAAACATCACATCTAAAGACAACAATCTGACTTAGAAAAAAATCGGTCACCAACTCTAATAATGGCATATATTTTGTTACAGATATTGTTACTGACCACAAGAGAACTGCATCACCTCTAAACAGTGTGTAGATTTATAGAATTATTCTGGTCTATAAACAAACTCATGTCAAATAACCACACAAAGCCCCCTTTCCCACTGCCACAGACACAAAGCAATTAAAAGTTGACATGCTTTTTGACATGAACAAAACATGATACATCAAAGTAAGTTCAAGCTTCATTCACACTCAAACTGAGCCAAAGACACAAAGATTGTCTTCCCATATTGAAACCACAGTGATGACTACTAAACCACAATGATCACAGCCTACTCTGGATATCTAAATAATATGACTGAGACCGCTGGGCTTAATCGAGAGCCAATTTCCACAGGTCAAAGGCATTTACAACTTTAGTGTAACCAACAGGTTGATAGAGGTTTATTATAATAATAATGATGTTTCAAACCCATGACTGGCAGATCCTGATTCAACCAGGGGATGCAACTCTACACGGACATTAGACCAGTGAACCGTCCATGCTCACCTAACATGATCTACGTGGTGGTAGAAAACTGGCAACTAGGAAGGCTCACATTTAATTTCATAACAATTCATACCTAATGGAAAGTAATCCTACCAGAACCTCGGCTAGAATAATGCATAACAGCACTCACGTTCAGCCATTTTCAGCCATTCCATAAATTTGCAGACAACTTCCCCCAAATTATTTTCCTAATATTATGGTAATCTCTAATCCAAACTTTCCAGTAGAACCTACAATAATGATGAATCCCCCCAGCTGACAGAGTTCCACTGACCTGAGTGAGTAGGATGTTGTCAAACAGCGTCTGAGTTTCCTTCTGGTCCTTGGTGATGTCAGCGTTGGCATTCATACCGAAGATCTCCGGGGATGGATTCAGGGGCAAGTTCTTCGTGTACTCCATGTAGCTCTCATACTGAAAGAAATATGGAATATGAGTGATGAGTGGGGCTTAAGGCCTGTGATTCTCAACCTGAAGTGACTTGTACATCGGAAGACTGACGGTCAAGGAATGTACTCAAACGCTCAGCTTGTAAAAGCCTGTACAGCCACTTAGTGACTAATTTGTCATTACAAATTGGTAAAGATATATATTTGTGTAACAATTTGGTATATCTTGTGTCTAAACTGGTTGAATTGTGATGTGATGAACAAGTGACGTCACGACACACATTATGATGTCATGATATCATTACAGGTCGACCTGGTTTGATCGTTGTACACAACCATACTTAGCATTATTTCATCATCATCATGATGGCTGGTAACACATGCCCACCAGCAACATGAGCATCATTCCACACTGACAGTGCACGATGAAACATCTTCAACCATGTAAACCTAATTTACAAACTGTTCCAGAACTGTCCATTTTGATGAAGATTTGCATTTAATTCATTTTCAACATGTGTGTGGTAAACTTATAATACCACCACATGCAGATCGAAAGTAAAGTCAAGCAAGTCTGCAAAGATCACTGTAATATCTGCAAAGATCACTGTAATATCTGCAAAGATCACTGTAATATCTGCAAAGATCACTGTAATATCTGCAAAGATCACTGTAATATCCATGCCAACCGGCATGTTTCAAAGAAGGTTGTAATGAATAATAATAAATAAAAAGTAAAACCTACATCTCCTGTGGGTGGGGAGTAGAAGAGACCGCTGACATCGAAGTAGTAGTCCTCACGCTCGATGATGTCAAAGCAGTAGAATTTGTTGAGGATGGTGAGCAGAGTTCGTCGATCCCAGTCATCCGTGACACGACCACCGTAGTTACACTCTCCGGTCAGGTAGCGCAGGGCATCAAACTGGACGGTCTGAACACAGGGCCATGTCATCGGTCAGAGATGGATGAATATACAAGTAGTAACAAACAGAATCGGCTTATTTTACATTAGTCTACAAGGTGCTCAAAAGTTATTACCCTGGTCAGTGAATTAGAGTTCACTTGATTTCCATTCTCAGCTCCCTAGGGAGTATACAAACCAAAATGCTAGAGGCACAATGAGATTGACAGTTGCATTACCAGCTCATCCTACCTGGTACCCATTCACTACTGGGTGAACAGAGGCACTTGCCTAAGGAGACACCACATGTGCTACATGTGCTTCAGTCTGAGTCTGAGAACCTAAGCCCAAAAACCTTTCACACGTAAAACTGCCAAATGCAGTCACCCATCCAACTACTCTTCAAGTCCAAAGTTCACTTGATCTAACTCCAAAGATCTTAGCTGGGAGTTCAGCAAGAAAGCATGAAACGGTACCTGATGAAAACTAAAACTGCTTTCTCTAAAACTAAACCCAGTTATCCTTTCATCCTTACATCATAGTCATTGAGGAACATGGCCAGCTGACGGACACTGATCCTGAGATCTGTCTCGTTGAACTCATATGGGATGTTCCAGCCCAGCGGACCAAACTTCCTCCTCTCTTGAATCAGAGCATGGAAGAAGCACAGGCCGTACAGCAGCTTCTTCCAGCAGGCCTGAAACAACAACAAACAGCAGCTTGACACAGACAGCCCTCAAAGAGGAACCCCACCTCACACAAGGATTGATCCCAACACAATACAGTGGAATCTGTCAGAACCAGACTCTGACTAATCTGGATTACTGTCCAAACTGTACTATATATACATTCTGAACATACAATAGCAAATTCTCATGTATTTTTAAAACCTCTAATATTTTCTCCCTTTTTCAAAATGTTGCTACCTAACCTATCTGGACTTGAGATTAAACTACAGTTTACTTCTTTCTGCCAAGAAATCTAATTTAGACAGATTCCACTCTATAAGGTAGTTTATAAAAAAGCTCATCATGGTATTACATTTAAATGTTTACATCAAATTTGTTTCAAATGACTTTCAGTTTAGTATTTTGGAGTATGTCAATCCTTTAAAAATGTATGAAGGTGTTTTTCTTTTTGGATGTCACAATCTTTGGTTAGGCCAGACCAATTTTATTTCTTGTTTTATGGACCTGCCGGTCGTATTTTTTCAAGAATAAGGAAAAAAAGAAAAATTAATTTTCCCCGCTCAAAGAATAAAATCCTAATGTATTTATTGGCCCAAAATGTAAACTTACAAGAATTTGTTTTTAAGATTGTTTTTTCGCCCATATACACTTCATAAATTGCCAAAAGTAAAATACTTTTAGTATTTAGAAGGAATATTTCTTTGACTGGTGATTTTATTCTTATTTTTTTTCCCTCCTGCCTTTAGGTCTCTTGAGGACAAAATTCCGTAAAACAAGAAATAAAATTGGTCTGGCCTAATTCATGAAAATCTTTACTAGACTTTAGGTAGCATAAATTTGCTATGAAACCATTTTTACTATGATTTCATCATAGCAATATCTGTGAGATCTGAATTTTCTTTTAGGGTTTATTACTGGTTCAACAACACACTCAGCCATATTCCAGGTAGACGAGTGTGACCTGTAACTAATTGAATCCTTAATCTACGATCTAGAATCAGTATCTAGAGGTTCATATTGTGAGCATCAATTCACGTTCACATACTATCAACCATGTCATCAGGTCTCACCTAGTGGATCCATTTCACCACCCCTTACAATATTTCCTGTATGACAGCTGAGTACAGAATTGAAATCCAGGTTGAGTTGTCCAAAATGTACACAGGATTAGATCATTTCTGATGACCAAGGTGAATGAGTGAGTTGGGCTTAACATCACTCCAACATTTTTACTACTTAACACACAGCTTCAATACCATCTTTACTGTCTCATAACAGTTTGTCAGAATCATGCAGCATATTAACTCTTGTATAATTATTTTCAAATCAGAATGAAAAAGAATATGCAAAAATCTACTTTGGTAAGAAATGCTTTCTCAATCAACCATATTTGCATACATGCGCTGATGTGCTTCTAGTTTTTCTACTGGGAAAGAACATATCAACTTCATCATTCAGTTGATTTGCAATCTGTTGCAAGTACAACATTCACCTTCAAAAACATACTACAGTATAAACAAGCTCTCACCATGTGTAACTAGACCAAATGATAATCGCTGAATTTAGTTAAATATAATAATATAATTTGAATCGACTCAATTTTTGGTCACAGCAAGTTCAGAGTGTGAAATGAAATGTTTTGTGCCACACTCATCAGTATTCCAGCTTTCTGACAATAGCCTAAATATAATCAAGTCTGGAAGAGGTGAAATAGTGATTAATACTGTGAACACTCAGTAAGGGAGCAATGACACCATTGAACTAATGTACTGGGTCTGACCATTTGGTCCACGGAGTTGGCTCAGATGACAAACAGACTGCTGGGGCCATACTAGTTATCTAACCTAGAGTCCCCATGGGGCAGACACCGCGTGACTTGTGTACACCCTACATACAGTCAAACCCTGCTGTCGATGTGTCGAATCCCTGATTGTGTCAGCCTGACACTCCCACACCCTTCAACTCCAATTAATAGACTTATAAACATGTGAAAACTCACTGTGACAATTCAAAGTGATTCTTAAACACATTCACTAACTGTCACGCATTAAATTTGATATCAAGTACAAACTAAATCAAAACAGATATGACACATGCTTCTGTTCTTAACATTTACATATATACAATACAATGTGGAACATTTGATAGTTCAGTTATACTGACTGACTGAGTTTAGGTTTACGCCGCTTTTAGCAATATTCCAGCAACATCATGGCAGGGGACACCAGAAATGGGCTTCACACATTGTACCCATGTGGGGATTCGAACCCGGGTCTTCGGCGTGACGAGCGGACGCTTTAACCACTAGGCTACCCCACCGCCCCAGTTCAATTATAAATAGGATGAAGTGTTGAACTATTTCTTGGTCTCCAGGAATTCAACACACCAGGGTTTGACTGTTTGGGCAAGAAAAGTGTATTCAGTTATTGGCTTTCATGCTTCAATTCACACTCCAAACCTCCTATTCATTTGATTAGGAGGAAATATTTGGCTGAAAATTTTCAAAACATTTCATCTTCTCTGAATTCAAAGACAGAATTATATCATCATTTGGAATTATCTTGATATAGTGGACAGTTACACCAGGCTGAGTGCTTGTGTAAGAAATATCCTAAGGTTTAAAGAAAATGTAAAGAAATGTAGAGAAATTCTAAAAAAAATAACATTCAACAAAACTTGAAACTTGGTAACAATAACCTCAATCAGTCATACCCACCTGGACTCCGAAAACTTCCCAACAAACTCAAATTCGAAATAACAAACATGAATCTCTCAGAACATGCGTTTGCAGTGCATTTGATTCTTTAAACTCACCGCTTTATCAAATGTGTCCTGTTGAAACGGCAAAATCCCAAATATACACTTGTGTTCATTTTGACACGATCACACATGGGATAACATGAACGTTGTATCAAAGGTTATGTGAGTATGGAAGATAACATGAACTAGGAAAATGACTTTATATAATACTAGCATCAGATTTTTTCAGATTAGGACAGAACTAGCTGCATCTTGATTCATTAGTATCTTTGAAGATATTGTTAAACACTGAATGTGAATGAAACCATTATTTTTAAATTCAATGCAAAGAAAATGTTTCAGCTAAGCATAAACAGAATTCCAACATATTATACACATATATATAGATACACAAAGTCTTTCATCAGAATCCTCATTAACCCATGTAAACAACTAAACTGAATATGCAAGACGAAGAATGAAAATACTGCTCAGTTTATGACATGTAATCAAGTGCAATAGTTTCCTTTCATTGTTAGATGAAAACAAAACCTGAATGATGACATTCTATTTAGTATTACATCACTACAATAAAATGAAAACAAAATTTACCTCATTTTTGACACTAGCAAAGAACTCAGGGTCTGAGATAGGATCGCTAAGGTAGGACTTGATGATGTTGAACCGGAGACCTTTGGGTGGTTCATTGGTCATCTTGACCCCGTTCTGTAGGATGGAGACGGGAAGGTGGTTGATGGATAGCTGGTCAGCCACAGCCGGAAGTCAGGGTGGGTGGTCTCAGGGTTGAACTCCTGAAGCAGAAGGGTATATGTGATGCATGTATGGTCTTGGCAAACCATGAAACAGGGACAATATGGGATTCAAACCCATGATCAGAGGATTCTCACATGGCTAAGGGACACAACTCTAGACAGGAAATTGTGAGGACTTAGCCAGCTGGACATCCTGAGCCACATCCATGTAACAGCTGCTACTGTTGCCAGGAATACCTAAACAATTGCTTTCTGTAGTTGTCATGGTGATCAAACATGCAAGATTTATAATCTCACCTCGCAGATCTTTTCCATTGTGGGCATCCAGGAAGCTGCGAGATGACAGTTCTGCAGCATGACCCAGGTTCCCTCCTTCACACCCTTCTCTATCATCTGCAGGGCAATAGGACCTTGACCTTGACCCAAGGAGAGGGAGTCAAACTTGGCACCACCAAAGCCCTGAATTAAAAACAGTCATTACTACTATAATGCAATATTAAACTTTTTAGTGACATGTGTCATAGAGCAATGGTTGATAAAGTATCCTAAACAAGTATATAAATTCAAGAAAGCTTCAACTGAAATAGCTCACCTGGTCATCAGCGAACTTGAGCAGTGCAGCCATGGGGTCAGCACCAGGGGACAGGACAAACAGCAGTGGGGCACAGCAGTGACTGTCTCCAAAGGCCTTGGGCAGGTCAAAAGGTGGAGGTTCGATGAACTTCTTCCCAATCTTCTCCGTGACAAACTCCTGGACACAGGGGATCACCTGTGGGGAAGAAACATCCAGTGATGTGGAACTTCAAGTGGGCTGAGCAACATTCACTTCATCTCTATTGACATATATCACCCACAAGAAAGATTAACTACTATAACTTTCTGATATCCAGGCGGGGAATCAAACCAAAGTCTTTGGCTTCATGACCCAACCCCTTACCCTCAGCAACCTGAAACATCATCTGAATGTCTATATGATTACATACCTTGTCTGACCGGAGACAGCGGAGCACTAACATCTTCTGGAAAGATCCTAACTTCTCATCCCACTCTCCTGGGAACTTCACATGGTGGGGTTCCTACAAGAAGAAGAAATTGTCACTGGAAACATCTTGCAGGTACAATTACAGCTAACATGCAATTAGTGGCAACTCAATGAACCTGTGAAAATTGTCTGCTTCACAAACCACTATTTCGCAATTTGGATGATTCATCACAAATCACATGATCTCAAAGACTGATCATCATCACACAAACCATCGTTAGGAATATATATCAAATCATAAATGCCTGTTTCCCTGCAGTGACTCATCACTATCATCCCTGTCATTACCATCACATCCAGCATCAGAGGGTTTTTGTTTCACAATGTTCATGCAGAGATAGTGTGTATGTCAGTGTCATCTTACTAACAACATCAACATCAACTTGTCACCATACACTTACTGGGCTATCATAGACAAGCTTCCATGAATCCTTGTAGCTGACAAACTTCTGACGCATTCCCTTGAAGCGTCCAAGTTCATCAAGACGACACAATTCATCCCAAGACTTGGATGGCAGCCATGTGGTTGGGTTACTGTGTGGGTTGTCCAGGCCGATGCCACCAGTGAGCAGGAAGCGCCACTCATCATCATCTATCTCCTTCTTGTGTTTCAGGATGTTCACACACAGGATGAAGGAGAACAGAAGCTGAAGTAGAAGAATAAACAGTGGTCAATAAATGAATGCAAACAGTGCATGTTGTCTTATCCTGCATTCAGCAATATTCTACCTTCTATGCACAACCTTGGATAATGGTCTGAACTTGCACCTGTACTGACATGTAACACTCTGAACTTGCAAACTGAGTGCATGTTGTCTTATCCTGCATTCAGCAATATTCTGCCTTCTACGCACAACCTGACTGAACTTGCACTGTACTGACATGTAACACTCAAAGTAGATAGAAGTTGAAATCCATATACCAGTGTTACTGATTTAATGACAAGGAAAAAGGAATAAGACAACGTTCAAGCAAAGTCGGTTATAAAAACAAAAGACATACAAATCTTGAAAGTTCTAGACACTAAGTCTGCCAATATAAGACCATAATAAGGCTGACCAGTGGTTGATGGCATGAATGACAATCCATAATGGGTGCAATACCACACACTCCAACTGGTCACATTGTAATCAACCAATGACCAATGGTAAGCTCTTTTGACCAGCATGTATATTCAGCCCAGAAATCAGCACCAAGTGTTTTGAAGCAAATAGAATGTAACAACACAGTTTTTGACATGACTGACCTTAACTATTCGCTTATCAAGATAGTCTACAGCAGTGTATTCCTACCTTATCCTTCTCAAATAGAGAACGACACACATTGCAATACAGAGAGTATGTGAAGTGATCGTGCAGGTTGTTCAGCCTGGTCGTAAGGTCCTCCGATGTCTCTCATGCTCTCGATGGACATGGTGAAGAGGTTGATAAACCAGGTGAGGGAGTACTGGTACATAGGCTCAATGTTGGCCAGGTCAGCAATAGAGAAGAACAGGATGGTACTGTGGATTGCAATCGGTGTGTAACCCATTCTGGCCGTGTCAATCTTCTTCTCTGTCTCCTCAGCTACGGCCTATCATGTCAATTGCATGTACATTTCAGATGGATGATGTATGTTTCAGTGATTTAGCATAAAATGGAACATGTATTGATCAATAACTAAGATGGTGGTGGCATTCATTAACCTGAAATCAATTAAAACTGATTATACAAGTTTTACATAAACACTGGACTGATATTGTTTCAGTTGGGTTAAAGTCATTTATTATATTTGAGAAAGAACTGGTATCAATCATAAAGAGATATCTCAATTTAGACTGGCACTAGCAAAACTTTATAGTGTGTACTGAATTCTTAAGCCTATGGTACATTTTATACGTATGGTATGTTCCAAGGAAAGTGACACAGACAGTTTACAGGCTAAGCCACTTACAAACATGTATTCTTCAATCATATTCTTATGGTATATATATTAATACACTAAAATCACAAATAAACATATTTAGCATCTTTACTGAAAAAGTTAAGAAATTCAATTCCTAAATTTATTTTTGATTGTGACATACTATGAAAAGAGCACATCAGTCTTAAGGATAGCAGTATGAAAGAAATTACATACACACTTGCTTGCTTGCCTCACTACAAATTCTATTCTATAGAGTGGTACATAATATATAGTACAGAACCTTCATTAAACTGACTGACTGAGTTTGGTTTTATACCGCTTTTAGCAATATTCCAGCAACATCATGGCGGGGGACACCAGAAATGGGCTTAACACATTGTTCCCATGTGGGGATTCAAACCCAGGTCTTCGGCGTGACAAGCCAACGCTTTAACTACTAGGCTACCCCACCGCCCCAAACCTTCATTGGAACACCCACCATATAGCTGGAATATTGCAGTGTGCGGCGTAAAACTAAACGCACTCACTCATTGGAACAGTGAACAGTTATTCCATAACAGCTACCTTAAACCTTAATTTTGATGTAGTGAAGCTGCATCCCTAACCAGCTCAGTCATGCAAAATGTGCAACTTCCTATCTCTAGCTTCCAGCATCCCAGTGACTCTAGTCATCCCACACTGCACCATGCATTCTGATGAGCATGCACATCACAAACCTCATTTGTGCTGACTAAGCATTTCAGCAGGATGAAATATCCATGTATTTGCAAATGAACAACGTAACACAAATCTTCCTGAAGTGGAATTATTCATTCAAGAGGATTTCTGCTATAAACACATATAGGCCTTCATCCTGCAGCCAACTAACTACTCCACACTGTTTACCATACCCTTGTTTTACCTAGGATAAATATTGGGTTGATTCATTAGTTCAATATATTTGGGTAGATTCATTAGTTCAATATATTGGGTAGATTCATTCGTTCAATATATTGGGTTGATTCAATAGTTCAATATATTGGGTAGATTCATTCGTTCAATATATTGGGTAGATTCATTCGTTCAATATATTGGGTTGATTCAATAGTTCAATATCTTGGGTAGATTCAATAGTTCAATGTATTGCCATTATTCGGTTGATTCATTAGTTCAATATATTGGGTAGATTCACTAGTTCAATAACTTGTAAGGGTCTCACAATGTTCCGATGCATTGTTGCATCACAAATTAAAAATGATTTGAAAATGATAGTCTACCAATGGTAGATCTAGATTTTTTAGGTAAATTTAAAACAAAAATGTTTACAAAATTTTGTAGAAGCCTGCAATGATAAGTATTCAGGCTAGTGTTATCTTACTGCCATTCAAGAAACATGCTACATCTGATCACAAAATTCTACTAGACCAAGACGATATTGACAACTTAATAAGAGCAATAACATCAACATTACAAATTTCAAGCAACAAAGGCTCATATCATGACTCAAGTAACTAGATAGTATGTATGTATTGCCACGATATGTGTATCGTAATGCATCTAATAACTCAGCTACAACCCAGGCATATCATATAAGTAAGGGCTTGATAACACCAACCATAGGCGGAGAATCAAACTCGGGTCTTTGATGTTAAAGGTGAACACTTAAACTGGCTGGCCACCTCCCAGCATCCTAAATATACAGCCTGTATGAAGTACAGGTCACTACAGAACAACAGGCCAAGTATTCCCAACTCCCTACAGAGCTGGGGATGTATAATGGATTCAAACTGCCTTGATGACCAGTGTTATAAACTGTCAACATGCTTTAGTAGAGAGTCAAGGTGTTGGGCATATATTATATACATAGACAGAGAGGGAGAGAATGAAAATCAGGGGGCCATGTTCATAGACCTGATGTTAAATCGTAAGGATTTAATAAAATTCAAAGAACACCTCAAGTACCTCAGTATCACCTTAATGTTTAAAATGACATTGAAAGGCTCACCTGCTTTCAGAAATTTCATTGGCGAGTTTCTTGGATGAAGACAAGACCTTGATAGCAGTCTCATCCTCCAAGATGTTACCCTCGGAGCTGGACAACACCTCAAGGATCTTGTCTTCAATCTCCTGTAGCTGTCTGTAATACAAACACACATCTTAGTGACACTGAGAGTAATTCACTGAACAGATGTCTTTGTGTCTATTTACACTCGCCCTCTATATTCTATTTACAAAGAGGGCTTTTGATTTCCATAAAGATATTGTTCTTTTCATATAATTTCATATACAGCTTTTGTTTCACCAAGTAAGAAAGTGCCTTAGGAGTATATATGTGTACTTTGAGAATTTGACCCTTCGATTATTCATGTCAAGATCTGTCTGAGCCAAATGGAGATGATTTGATCCAGAAAATAACAGAAATGCATATTTCTAAATGGAACAGATATAAACATTTGATGGGCAAGTGAATGTGTTAAAAAAGTGAACACATTGTGAAATAAGACTTGTTCACAACCTCATTTCAGAGAAAGATTTATGGGTTTTAAATTGTGGATCCCCAAAACAACCCTGTCCTCCACCCAAACCCACCTCTTGTTCTCTGCACTCTGAAGAATGAGTGCGTTCTTCTCCTCCTCCAGTTCTGGACGCTCCTTGGCCACCACAATCCCCAGCAGTTGGTCAGACAAACCCTCCGGGGTGATCATGAAGTTCAGCAGTGTCACCTTGGGAGAAACACCACACAAGGAAATGTTGGGAATGTTGGGAATAAAATCAAACTTGTGACGGAACTTATATTTACAGAGCTCAACTAAAATATATCAATCATATTGATCATCTTCATCGTTTGAAACATCATTGCTCTGTTTGGGGGAAAAAGGGTACCAAAACAATCACATTAAAATTAGATCTATAACCTGGTTGGACACATCTCTCTGCATTTTGATGACCCTCCATGGGAATATTCTACTCAGCCAGTCAGCATTGATCTGATGTCTTTCAAACAAGAAAACAGTTCCCTCTCAGTACAAAACCAGCGATTCCATGACAGCATAGTTGTAGTTGTCATACCTTGACAGCAACCTCCGGGAGGTAGTGTGGGTTCCTCAGCTTGGTGGTCATGTAGAACTTAAAGTCCTGGGAGTACTCTATGGTACTGTCTCCCAGCTTGATGCACATGCTGCCTCCCTGCTTGAATGTCTGCTTCATCAGCAGAGGCTCCAGGATGGGGTCCAGCTCCTCAGCCACATTCTCCAGCAGCACCTGTTTTCACACAAATGCAAGCACTCTATGTCAGGAGCACAGATAATTTGTGTTGGGATTGCAGAACAGGAGTACCCAATGCATGTTATATCAGACAATTAAACTAAGGATGGTGTGGGTACAAGCCTGGCCCAGACAAACAATTCAGGTCTCAACCAGACAAAACATGTCTGAGATAAACCAACCACACAAGTCTGGACCAGGCAACTGATCAAACCCTCTGGGGTGATCCTAAAGTTCAGCAGCATCACCTCGGGAGAAACACTACACAATGAAATGTTGGGAATAATGAGTTTAATCAAACTTGTAACAAAACGTATGTTTACAGAGCTCAGCAAAGGGTATGAATCATACCGATCATATTTTCATCGTTTAAACATCATTGCTCTGTTTGAGGGGGAAAAAAGGTAACAAAACAATTACCTTAATATCAGATCTATAGTTAATCTATTCAGCCAATCAACATTGACGCTTGTAGATTCAGAATAGGAGTAAGAGAAGCATTTAAACCACAATATCTGATTTCTCAGTGTTTCCACTCGTAAAAGTATATACCTAACCAAAAGTATTCCATTACAAAACCAGACAAACAGACCAACATTACAGGTCTGGACCAGACAACTGACCAAACACTCTGGGGTGATCATGGAGCTCATTAAACATATAAGTGATTGATTTGATTAAAGTCAAATTCAGACAAACAATTCAAGTACAAGTCAGAAAAATATTTCATGCTCTGACTGGGCAAACAATTCAGGACTGGATCTGACCAATAATTTAAATCAGAGACAGAAAAGAAATTAAAATGTGAGCCAGACAAAATATTCAAGTCAAGACCAGAGTATCCTTCACTATAATGAGGAAGCAAAGTACAATGTGTTGGCTGTGAGCGTGGGACGTGGCTACTTGAATGATACCTAGGTCAGCAACTAGAAGTACTTCAGTCATACATGGATGATGTTTGACATGCTTCTTGACAGAGCTGTTTAGGTCACCTTATACAAATACTCTGACATAATACAGATAGTGACAACTTACAGGTGTTCCGAACTGTATACAGTTCTCAAGCGTCCGGACAAAGTCTCCATCAGACAGTTTGATCATGTGGAGATTGTTGGCTTTCTCCATGTTCTTCACCCACTTGTTGGCCTGACCTTGAGGGTCAATCATTAAGGGCCATCGACGGGCATTGCTGAAATAACATACCAGATTTCAGTCCAGATCCAAATGTGAATCTCAAATTCTTTTGATAAAAATATTAGAAGACATTTTTACATAAACAAGTTTCAGTTGTCAGTCACCAAATTGTCAATACATTTTTCATTTTGTACAACCCTCCATCCATATGCTCTGGATTTTAATGCATTATAAAAGTCATCAGTATCAATATCATCATTGTAATCAATATCATCATCCCACTGACCTAATGATGATACCATTCTCCACTGAGAAGCCGTCCGTGGGCAGTCCAGCAATGTTCCAGGCCCGGGATCTTCACAGGCTCTCCAAGTGTGTGGATGAGGGAGAAGTCATCAGAACATGGGATACCGATCTCCTTGACACGCTTCTGCCACTGGACAGCCTGTTCCTGACGGAAAGCTGATGTGAAGGCACCAAGGTATGCCACAATTCCAGAGGAAATGAGAACATCACCAGTCAAGTTAATATACTTCTTGCCCAACTCTCTGGCTGCAATGCTCCATCTGTAACATCAACAGGAACTGTAACTCACGTACCTACAAGTATGACTTACATCCATGGCAGACATCAGATCTGTGGCCGATTATCAAATCTATCACACTGTCATCTAACATCATGACCCTCATGTTGATATGATGTCATCAATACTGTCACATTCTTCTCACCCCCCTTTTCAGTTTATTCACTATTTTAGCCATTGGAACCTTTCAGATAACCTTGTGTCCAGCTTTAGGGTGGTGTTATATACATGAAAACAGACCTTTTCTTTGAACTTGATATTATGCCACAATATAACCTACATTTTGTAAGAAATAAGTTAATGAATTAAGAACCTTTCATAACTTATTGCATTTATTTGTCTTAAGAGTCAAACAAATATAACTGTTTGTGCTGACTACCACTGTGAATGTTGAGTGATCATGTCAAAAGTATATATGCATTATTACTTTGATTCATCCATCTCCAGATCAAAGTTTATAAGACATACAAATGTACTTCTATTTTCGGTAAATATTCTGATTTTCTTGTCTTAATATGAGCAGCTGCAACTGTCACAATGCAGCACAGTATCACAGTCTCCATCTTGACTGCCAGTTTCAGCTGCCTCCCAAACACCCACCTCTCTCGCTCACCACCCAGGCCACCTATCAGCTGTTCAGCTCTCTCCAACTTCTTCCGACAGAGGTCAACTTGGTTCTCGAGATCAGCCTTCTTCTGTTTGTTCTGAGCCAGCTTCTCCTCAAGCTTGAAGAGCTTGTCTTGAACTTCCTTCAGTGATGCTCTCTTCTTCTCCAAGGATGCCATGGCAACGGCAAGTTCACCCTCTGCTTTTTCAAGGCTTCCTTCTTTGGAGCCACTACCTTGGCAACTCTGTAGACAGGCATACACTTTTTCAAGAAACACTGAACAACAATAACAACGATATCACAAACAACAAGCATTCTTATGGATTTCTTTTTCCTATATGACAATGTAGTGTTTCTTTAATCCACAGAAGTGGACACTGCAGGTGGTCAAGTACTGACCTGTCATAGGTATCCATGGCACGAACCCACTTGCACAACCCCTCACAAGCGGTGGAGGCAGTCTTGATCTTTTCTGGGTCAAAGTCAGGGTTGGAGATGTACTTTGATCTGATTGTCTTCATATAAGCCACTGGAATGTTGTCCTGTAACCAACAGTTGCAAGCATCAGAACCACATGTAGGATGTATAGAAATAATGTGTTCCTGGATATTAAAAAAGCTTTTCCAGTGGTGTGTGTATGTATATATAGTTCAGATGTGACAATGGTAGAAAACAAGTTGGTTGGTTGGTTTCTTGTTTTACGCCACACTCAGCAATATACCAGCTATATGGCTGCGGTCTGCAAATAATCGTGTCTGGAACAGACAATCAAGTGGTCAACAGCATGAGCATCGATCTACACAATTGGGATAAGATGACATGTGTCAACCAAGTCAGCGAGCCTGACCACCCGATCCTGTAAGTAACCTCTTACGACAAGCATGGGTTGTTGAAAATCAATCAAACCCTGATCTTCACGGGCTGTAGAAAACAAGCACTGGACCCACCTTGTCATAGTTATGTAGAGACTCCAGGAACTTCATGTCACCCAGGACTTTCTTGGATGGCCCCCAGTAATCCTCAATCTTCTTACCAGTCCCAGCAGGGTCTGGGATCCTGTCTGGCTTGACGCCCTTCAGGACACAAATGGTCTCCATGACCAGACGGACGCCATAGGGGGGACTCTTCATACTCTTCACAACTGTGATGTCCTGTAATCGACAGTAACCTTTGGTGAAGTTTGTTAATAATCATATTGATAAAATAGAGAATATTTTTAAATTTTATTAGCAACAACATTGTTTTGTTTATCATATTGTTGGTAACACAGATTGTATTAATAAGAGGAATGTTTGCAAGCCAGTAAACAAAATATTACAGTTAAAGCGCTTCCTGTTTAACAACTTCCCATCCTGTTTGGGTAAATATGTGCTCAGTGCTGTGCAACTTTCATATATGTCTCCAGCTACATAACAAAGTTATAATCCCTTCCTGAGTAACATCACTTCTGATTTGGAAAACTGCAGTACAACTTTCTGCTGTTATAATGTACTAATTGGTGACAAAGTTATGAGCACTCCCAGTTATGGTGGGTATCATATGTCAACAACTTTGAAGGTCCCAAGTGATAACCACTTCTGTATTAATGACATCTAGTTGGTGAAAACTAATGCCATAGTCATTGCGGCTTTGAAACAGAAAATCCCATTCATAGCTACATGAGCAAGAAAGTTGATAAATACTTTCAATTTAATGACATTTACCCTCAGTTTCAGTGAATCATATGCTTCACTTTTTGCACCTGGAAATGTGTGATCGCTCTTACAAACATTTCATTTAAATTCAAAGAACAACCATGTTACAAAAGACTATTCCAATGACCTTGACCTTCACTAAAAATTCTCCAAAAACCTCTCTATTCAATGCACTACATTTAGGGCAAAATGTTCAATTTCATCTCAGCACTATAAAGGAGTGATACATGATATCATATTCCTGGGATGTCCAAGCATTATATTGTTTCCAAAACACATTGGGGTGGTGTTAGAGGAGTGTAGTAAATTTCAGACAAAACCATAAAGCATCCTCATGTACATGAGACTTCTTATTAAACTTTTGAAACAAAGTCTATCAACAAGTGATATGACCAAAGTTAATTTCGGTGTGGAAATTACAAGGCACCTACCTGTGTTGTGAGAGTGTCAAGGGCAGAAAGAGCAGCATTTAGGGCCGGGATAGCCTCGGCCAGTTCATGGTCACATTCATCCTTGATGGACTGGGCAGCCTTGGCCTGCTCATTGGCTACTGCTTCATCTGCTTTCACAACCTGGAAGGGACAAACATACCTTAATACAACAGCCAGACCATGTCAGTCTCAGGATCCCCTTTACATGAATTACCACCAACACTGACTACCCAGCACTGAATACCCTATCCCTCCACTACTACACTGACTACCCAGCGTTGACTACCCTATCCCTCCACTACCCAGCGTTGACTACCCTATATCCCTCCACTACTCCTGACTACCCTGATCCCTCCCTCCACTACCCTGACTACCAAGTGTTGAGACTACCCTATCCCTCCACTACACTGACTACCCAGCACTAACTACCCTGTGTACCTCCACTACCCAGCGTTGACTACCCTATCCCTCCACTACACTGACTACCCAGCGTTGACTACCCTATCCCTCCACTACACTGACTACCCAGCACTGACTACCCTATCCCTCCACTACACTGACTACCCAGCGTTGACTACCCTATCCCTCCACTACACTGACTACCCAGCACTAACTACCCTGTCCCTCCACTACACTGACTACCCAGCACTAACTACCCTGTACCTCCACTACACTGACTACCCAGCGTTGACTACCCTGTCCCTCCACTACCCTGACTACCCTGTCCCTCCACTACCCTGACTACCCAGCATTGACTACTCTATCCCTCCACTACCCTTACTACCCAAGTACTGACTGTGGATTTCCACGGATCCTTTACCTTTTCTACTTTGGCCACTTCAACAGAGTCTCTCTCAATGATGACCATTATCTCAGATACATCTTTGGTGGCCTCTATGAGCTGTGGCTGGAGATCGGTCAGCTCCTTCTGCATGACCGCAACCTGGGATGAGGCAGAGTCCAGCTTCTCAAGACCCTTCTCATACCGATTCTTGGCATTCATCACCTCCCTGGCAACACAAACAGGGAACACATGTATATCTATCAAATTCTTAAAAGCAAGATATTACTGTTCGGTTTAAAGTTTTGCTATTTACTTAGCAGTACAGCAAGTGGTCCTCAGGACCCATCATGAAAAGCTTAAGCATAAGAACTCCTGTTATGAATCCTGATTGTTGTGATGCTGTAAAATAACAGTGATGCTGTTCACTCATTCTCGTCTGAGGACTTATAGCGGCTGCTTGGTTTACCAGTTTGTTGCTAACCCCTAAGGTTGGGTTGGGTGAAAACATATTTTAATCATTTTGTTGAGTCCAATATCTGTTTCTATCAGTCAGTATGGTGGTGAAAATTCAGGCCAAATCCACTTTGGTTCCTGTTGGTAACTATTTTGAAAATATAAGTCAGAGAAGGCTTTCTGACCAGTTTGTTCTCTTAATAAGGGTCAGATAAAAAAAAGGTGAAAAAAGCTGATTAAATACTGTTGAAGAGGTCAACTGATCCTTTTTCTATTTGTATGTTGTAACTTAGTTTCTCTAATCCATTGAAACTATATGAAACATGTAAACAAAAACATTCCAAATACATAAAGCCAAAAAGGGGAAGAATACATCTCCTAAACATTAGACTGAACATGTATCTTCCATACCCCCGCTTCTTCTCAAGTAGGTTCTTGAAGGTGTTGATGAGTTCGAGGTAAGAGGTTGGTGTGACGTAGTTGTGTCTCTCCAGCTCCAGGAGGAACCTCTCCGACAGGTCCCTGGTTGACGTGTGGAACTGTTTGCACATGTTGATACAGCCCACCCGCTCATCCTCCACAATCTCGATCTCCTCCAGGAAGCGGGTAGCTACAGCCTGCAGGGCATCCTCGGGCCAGGACTGGGGAGACACAGACCAGAGTAGTGTATATGTCTCAGTGTTGTTTAATTACAGCAGTAGATTAGTTCAGGGAAATGTGTGGCTCAAAGGATCGGTAATCCATCCCACTGGGGCATGATGACATGCAGTCAGACAATTAACTGAGTTTCACCATCCAATCTATTCAATTCCCACTATCAATTCCATCCAAATTCCCCACAATATTTCTTAGCATAAGTGTGTTTTGACTTAATTTTTGAAAGCCTCACTCAAGCCAATGCTTCTGGTTATCATACTGATTTCAGACACAAAATGTGGAACATATAACCAAAAAGACCTATGGAACGCATCTTTATCCAAAAGGTACTGTCCCCTGGCAAATTCTAGATAAGTGAACCATTGTTTCTGAAAACTGTGCCTTGTAGATGTGCCAAAAATGTACCAACAGAAATCATCCAGAAAAGAAGTTTCCTGAGAAACAGGATGTGATTTAACAGTGTCAAGACATTTCCAACTGGCTATCAAGCTCACCTGGAACCAGTCAATGGTGCAGCAGTTGACGAGGGAGGGGAACTTTCGGAGGCGGTTTCGGAAGGCGTCGCCAATGGGACTCATGGCTAGGACAACATGGAGCTGGTCTCGGACCCTCTGGATGAAGAAGTTGAACAAGGCTACTGGAGACCCATCGGTCTGCTTGGCCTTATCTCTCTGCCTGTGGATACATACATGCAACCGGGACAGTGAGCTAGTAGATGGTATTGTGTGTATCATGCTCAAGCTGAAGTCAGCAATATTCCAGATACATGAAAGAGGTCTGCAAAGTTGAGGGTCTCGGGGTGGATAGAGCTCAGAAAGGTGGGGTGCACAGTTCATTTTCACCCGTTTTCATGAGATCTTCTATGGTCATTTAATAAACTTCCAGGACAAAAGTTGGGGTGCACACCTCTGCCCCCCACCTCTGGATCTGCCTATGGGTCTGGATCAGTCTGTTGGGTGTGTGAAGACAGTCAACCAAATCACCAAACCAGAATACCTTACATCACAATCACTGGCTGCTGGACGATTACTAAGCCGGAAATCCCAAGGCATATGTTCACACTGCAGTTTACAATATTCCGGCCACATCACACACTTAGCCTTAAGACATCACGTCTTGTCCAGACAACAGTCAGTATCAGTGATCATACTGAGACAAATATCACCTGTCAACCAAATCTGAAGTATCAGCTCTTACAAGCATCAACACCTTTGGATCTAATTTTCTACTTAATACCAACAGGGTTAAAAAAACGACCTAAATTTTAGATGTCACTATGAAATAATTTTTACCCAGATAAAGCTGTCAAGCATACAATGATGTTATATGAAGCTGTGAAATGTACAATGATCTTACCTATCAATCTGACGCATTTTCTCACAGATCTCTTGTTTCTCGTCTATGGGGTAAAGATTGGGGACTTCACCCGCATTCAGCAAGTTGTTGATGTCCTCAAGGAAGGATTCTTGTTTAATCTGGAATATTTACAACAAGGACCCCATGAAGATGCAAAAAGGGTGACACAGATACACAAACAATAAGAACATGATCACAGCCTTGGATTTTACCCTTCATCTTTTTAATTACATTTTAATTTACAGCCTGAAAATAATCAAACATGACCCTTGCATTAGGCGAAACATGACTCTTACATAAGCATCATTCTCAATAGCTTTTGGTTTTATTATATGAACTATTGCAAAACCTGTACCACACAGAGAAGAATTTCACGAGAGTCAGCTTCTGACTAGCCAAAGCTGCAGACCTGTCAAGAAGCTGTGTATACTGAGTTCACATTGTAACTCACCTGTGTGTCCGAGAACAGGAACACAGCATGGTTATCAGTCTCAGTTGCTTTCCTCAGGATCCGCTTCAGATCTTCTCTCCACTCTGTAGATGTGTAACTCTTTGTGATCTCAACCTGCACATGGAGAAATCGCGAAGTTACACACAGCATCAATCATTGCCTGCTGTCACTTAGCTGATCTATGATGGAATGTATTTCAGTCAAAATCCTTTACAGCAAATTTCATGCACCATTTCGGCTGCTATCATTAAAACTTCATTTAATTGTTGTTTCAAAACAAAGTCAATTACAACCTAACGGTGCCCTGTATCAACCAAAATGGTAATATGTAATAAAAATGGAGTCCTTTTTTAAAGGTTATTGTTAATCTCTTATATGGTAAGACACTAAAAAGTCTTTTAACTTTACATTGTCCTCATATTCTGTTCTATTTATACAGTTTTTTCTGAAAATCTTATAAAAAGCCTGAAACAAAATCATTAACATGATGATAATTTAACATGATGGACAGCATGCAGTCAATCCGAGACAGTGAACAATATCCCACAGCATGCAAACAACAACCTCACCTTACCATTGGCAATATAATACAGAGCTCTATGAATATTCACGCAACAATTACTCATGAGTCAAAGAATCTGCATGCATCATAGTTCACACAAGGTTTTATCAATATATTCATACAATATTATGCACTCAATTTCCTGAAAACATAGAAAGAGGTATGAATTGAAAACATTTCTGATAATTGTGTGACTTCATGCTGGGATGCACATCTGTGTAACATACATGCACAATGTTGAAATGTATCACTTGACATGCGTAGCGTATGTGTCACTAATTACATCACTCATACTCATTGTGAAATAAATCTCCATACATTTCAGGAACATTATCAATCATTTTGACCAGATCCATCTTGGGAAATGATGAAATACCATGATGTGATTGGTTAATGTCGATGATCCTGCATCGTTCAGATGAAAGCCACATTACAATATTTGAAATAAATCTTTCTGATAATTCTGATCTGATTAACATAAAACACATTCCAAATGGAATTTGAATTTTCAACATTACATAAAGGTAGACTGGCCTGGACTATCTTGTATAATTTCAAGGGTATCATTTCTAACATAGTATTTCTCCATCACAGATATTTATCATTAACTCGGAGTAGATCACTATGATATGGCTACCTTATGACAAGAACCCATTGCATATACACTAGGTAAAATATACGAATATCATGTAGCTTACTGAGGTGAAATATGTACAAAATATACAACAATTACACTATATTGAAGGAGTCAGTAACTGTTATACCATCACATTTAATATGTTCTCCATCCAGAGGAAGTTTGACATATGTCTTAAGAAGAATCAATGTAAACATTAGAAATAACTGTTGAAGATAAAGAATATGTACATCAATATTGTCATATCTTACTAGGAATGCAAATAATTCTAAAATTCTCTAATTCTAGCAAAAGTAATTTCAGTGTCTCAATTTGATTTCTAACAAACTTGAGCTATTTTTTCAGCACCTACGAATGAATCAAGACACATCTAACCAGAATCAAAGTGACATTCCAAATGATGATTGTGCATCTCTCATTCATTTTCATCTCATAAGCAGAAAAATGTAATTTTTTGAGTAAAATTGATATTTTATACTTATCCTGACTCATGCTCTTTTTGCTTGTCTCCTTCCTCTTGCGAACATAGTGGAACACTTGTATCTCCCTAATTGAAGTTCCCTTCAATGTAAAATCACTAATTAGTACACCACGAGTTACCTCCCTTCCACAAGCTCGGGAACGAGGGCGCCACCTCTACCCATGTGCCTCACTCTCTCCTCATATACTGAGCCCAACATTTGAATTTACAGGGAAATCCAAAGTGTTATTTGGGAGGATGGGAGGGAGTGGATTCATGAGTCAGGATAAGTATAAAATATCAATTTTACTCAAAAAATTACATATTTTCCTTATCCTGACTCATGCTCTTTTGCTTGTAGAATCCAACAGAGCCGAGGTGGGAATATATAATACTTTGGATTTTAATAATTAGTGATTTGAACTGTGATGATTGTAATAACCCTATGGAACTTCATAAAGGCATTGAACTGATGATTCCTGCTGCCAGCTTATCAGCTGCCATATAGAGGTTATTACAATGTACTTATTATGATAAGTATATATAATATTAATACAATGCTTAAGACTAATAGACTTAAGCTTGTTAATATGCTATTATAAACTCCTTAGAGTTTGTTAGCTAAAATACTTTAAGATATAAACATAGCACTAAGCTTAAAAATATGATTAATTTTAAGTTAATTATATAATAACAAACCTCTTTTTAGGGTTTGTTAGTTAAAATATTTATATGATATAGACAGTGCTGAGCTTAAGATATGAATAAGCTTAGCTATATATATATAACAGCAAACTTTGTAGAGTTTGTTAGCTAATACATTTTACAATATGAGTATAGTATTGTGCTTAAGATATAATTATCTTAAGCTACATATATAATAGCCAAACTTAGTAGAGTTTGTTAGCTAATATATTTTTTTACAATATGAGTATAATACTGTGCTTAAGATATAATTAACTTAAGCTACATATATAATAGCCAAACTTAGTATAGTTTGTTAGCTAATATATTTTACAATATGAGTATAGTACTGTGCTTAAGATATAATTAACTTAAGCTACATATATAATAGCCAAACTTAGTAAAGTTTGTTAGCTAATATATTTTACAATATGAGTATAGTACTGTGCTTAAGATATAATTAACTTAAGCTACATATACAATAGCCAAAAACTCTGTAGAGCTTATTAGCTAATAGATTTATAATGTAACCATAGTACTAAGCTTAAGATATGATTAGACTTAAGCTAAATGTATATAAAGCAAAAACCTCTTAGAGTTTATTAACTAATATACTTTTATGTTATAAACATAGTACTGAGCTTAAGATATGATTAAACTTAAGCTATATATATATAATAGTAAAACTCCGTAGAGTTTGATAGCTAATACATTTTATTATGTTGATTTAGACCTAGTATTGAGCTTAAGATATGAAGTAAACCTTAAGCTAAATATATAATAGCAAAAACCTTTTAGAGTTTTAATAGCTAATATACTTATATGGTATCAACATAGTATTGAGCTTAAGATATGAAGAAACCTTAAGCTACATATGTATAGCAAAACTCCGTAGAGTTTGTTAGCTAATACATGATATAATGTAACCATAAAGCTTAAAAATATGATGAAAACTTAAGCCCAATATATAATAGCAAAAACTCTTTTAGAGTTTTGATAGCTAATATACCTATATGCTATAAACATAGTACACGCTTAAGATATGAATAAGCTTAAGTTACATATATAATAGCAAAAACTCCATAGAGTTTGTTAGCTAATACATGTTATAATGTAACCATATTGCTTAAGATATGATGAAACTTAAGCCAAATAGCAAAAGCTCTTTAGAATTTGTTAGCTAATATAGTTATATGATATAAACATAGTACTGAGCTTAAGATATGAATGAGCTTAAGCTACTTATATAATAGCAAAACCCGTGAGAGTTTGTTAGCTAATGTATTTTACAATATGAGTATAGTACTATGCTTAAAATATACTTGACTTAAGCTACGTATATAATAGCCAAAAAACTCTGTAGAGTTTGTTAGCTAATGCATTTATCATGTAACCACTGTGATGATAAAAACGAGCTTAAGCAAATTATATATAGCATGAAGCTATTTAGTACTGTTATAAGATAAGTAAAAATCTGTAAGATTGACTTATCTTCTCCGAGGAACTGTCAACTCTTGTGCAAGGACCATGGGATCAAATTGGTGGATACCTGAGATGTCCTCGGTGGTGATATCTCTCAGATAATGGTTGGCAACCACCATATCGGATCTACAGTAATAAACCCTCCATTATTTCAAATAACATTTGTGTAGATGAAATTGTAGAAGTTAGCCTAATATCAAGAGTATTAAAGCTCATGGAGGGTCGGATTAGGTCCATCTGTCTTGTATGCACGTAGTATGACAGTTCTGATCCAAACGGAGATATAGTACGTGAGACTACACTCTGCGTGAAGTTGATGATAGAGGAAAAATCTGTTGTATTTTTCTTCCTGTTTGGTTTGGTGGAGATAAATTTACAGTGCTCTTGCTGGCCAGCGTGATAGCATCATCATGATCATGGAGTCCAGTATGTCATCCAGGCATGTTCATAAACCTCACTTGTGAGGTGTTGTAGCACTATATTCATATCCCCAAGTTGGTACGTGAAACTTCCGCTTATTCTCCAAACAGAAACTTAGTAGGTTTACTAACCATCTAGTTGTGTTAGTAGCTTGATGATGAAATTCAGGTGTAGTCTGAAACGCTGTGGATTTCGATCCACTTGTATCCGTCGTCTAGGTAAATCGTTATGCATGTCCTTGACGATGTATGTGCACAACCGGGAGTTTGTGTCCTCGATGAACTTTATGTAAAAATCGCCTGACTGCTGTGCCCTTTGTCTAAACTTGACAGGGAGGTCTCTAACCTGAAGAAAGCAGCCTAATCCTGAAGGTTCAGGTTAACTGGGCTGTAAGGAGGCTTGCTCGCTCATTGATATAAAGTTGTCACTTGCAACCTATGTCTTGAACTGTGAACTATGCTCGACCTCTGTGTAGATGCGTTGTTCATCGGGGTCCAATCAGAATAAGGCATTTTGATTCTGTAGAGTACCCGCTGTGATGTCACCGGTGTAGCAGGAAAAGGAACCTTGTATAATATAGTGCCGTCGTTGATATTAGAACAATCGTCGGTCTTCATCGTAACTTCCGGTTACCCGAGTGACCACGTGTTTCGAGGATTAATGGTAAACGCCACAAAGCCGCAAAATACCCGCTCTGTAATATTAATGCTGGGTAGGTTATTTTCCCTGGCTGTCGTGGAAAGTGCTTCAGTTTTGAATATAATTCCGACTTCTTTATATATAAAGGTACAATAACTTGTAAGTTGTCAGCTTGTAGACTGTATACATGAATGTATCGTCATAATTGTAGAATTAAAGCTGAATTTGTT